AAACATATGTTGAATGCGTGTTTCGTGTTTCTTTTTTGATTTTTCTCTTCTGAATAATGCTTGTCCATTCTCTGTCTGACACATGTCCTCTAAGAACATACAAAAAACCTTCTTAATTAAGAGCAGTTTTTACTACTAATAACTATTTATCAATTAAATTAAATCAGATAAATAGTAAGAACATGCTCTAAGAGCTTACATTGTACATGCTCTGACCCTCATATTTCTCTTTCTTCCTTTTCATAAGTTTTGATAAATTTTTATTGTAAGAACTCTATTGAGATACTCTCAATGGGGGTGTTCTTAGAGCATGTTTATCGGTGATCTTTTAAGAGTATCATTCAATAAAAATGATTAAAAAATTATAAACTGATGAGATTTTCTTGTGAGTCGTCTCAACTGGATGTGTTGCTTGAAACGGTTCTTTGGAGACACGTGTCAGCGTGGTATTGGACCCTCTTTTATCCAAAAAAAATAGATCTGAAAAGATCTCTCTCGATTCTTCTTCTTCACCGTGACGTCCAATGTCTCTGTCTCCGCCGCAACCGAATCTCTGATCGCCGCAATCGAGATGTACATAATCGTGGATCTTGTGAAATCCATCCTTGAAAACTTCGAATCCGCCTAAAAACCCAATCGCGATCACAACCAGAAGCATGCACAACATGCAAATCCTTCCACAACACATCTTTCTTCTTCCTTCAAATCGATTTCAAAAATCCTCTCTGTATTTGAAATTTGTCGCCGGAGATTCCGAGATTTGAACAAGTCTGATATCAGATCAAAGAGAAAAAGTTTGTTTGGTTTTGTTGGGGAGAGAAACGTGGGGGTGAGAGAGATGATAAATTTTATAAAAAAATAAATTATTAATAAAATTAATGCTAAATTAATGTTAATGATACTCTTTGAGTATCACTAATAAACATGCTCTTATATGCTCTTTTGCTTTGAATTTGTCTTAAATTAATGTAATTACTGTTTGCAAAAAAAATAAAAAAATTATATGTTTAATCGAATAAACACACTGATTTTGAGCAGAATTATATAATTGACAGTTGAATAACAGGTTACTCCCTCTGTTTGATATGATCATGGGAAGCAACACTGAAATTATGATGGGGTCGAGAAACCAGCAGCTGAATCGGAGATCAATCAAACCGGATGCACATTTCGAACCAGACCCTAAAGGATATATGCTCACTGTTCGCAGTGTATATGCTCAACTATGCCGACTAAACGCATGAAACAAATTGGAAACAATTCTAAGCTCATTTAAGGAACACCTCGAATAAGAATCACATCAAATAGAGTTCAACGAAGAAGTTATTCAATTTACAAGTTAGGTGATTTCCAATTTTCCCGATTCAGACCCGTGCGTATTCAATGACGAATTTTGACCAGAATGAGTTAAGCTACAAACCGAATTGTTATATGATCTTGATCCATTAGAGAAGCCCATGAAGTTGGATTCAGCCCAAAAGCTATCAAACAAGATCAGATTTCGTCCAAGTTCAAAGAAGCATTTATTGAAGTGTTGTTCTCTCTCTTACATGCAATTGAGAGTTTTAATTTTGTTTCTCTAGATGCTCTGCATGTTGAGCCATGTTTATGGACATTTTTAATGTTTTTTCTATATAATGAGGCTGATTTCATGAATAAAAGATAAGCTTTTGATCATTATTTTTGGAACCTTGAGAGTGATTCTCATCTTTTGTCAATGGTGTGTAATAGCCATTGATGTGATTATTGTGTGTATTATCCATTGATCAGCTTGGCTCGTCTTGGTGTGTCATATCCAAAGAGCCATCGATCCGTCTTGGTGCGTCATATCCAAGGGACCATCCCAA